TTGAGATTGACATCACCATGGTCTTCCCAGACGATGATTGAGAACAATCCATGACACTGGCAGGTCTCAGCTTGGCAAAGGGGGCAGTGCATGCTATAAATTCTGCAGGGTGCCCAAACTTTTGCAGACGCCATTTTTATGTTTTCTGTTATTTTGAAAGTGTAAATGATGGAAATAAAATCTAACTTTTGTTGACATATTATAAAGAATGTCTAATCTGTAATTTGATGCCTTTTGGAGATTTTTCCATCTTTCCTTGGCTTCTTTATGCACATTAATACAAATTTTTTAGCTGGGGTGCCCAAACTTTCGATCCCCACTGTATATATACATGGCGTGTTTACATTAAGCGTAGCATGAAAGGCAGCGCTGTCATTCAGAGTGGCATTTCACGAACATGGTGTCACTAATGTTTTGTAAATATGAAATAACACGATCAGAGAGGTGTCAGTCTCCCAACGGCTGCCAATTCCTCGAGACATTCCAAACATCATTAGTGGATATGCCCCCCCAGACCATCACTGACCCACCAACAAAACAGGTCATGCTGAACCATGTTACAGGCAGCAGAACGTTCTCCACGGCTTCTCCAGACCCTTTCACGTCTGTCACATGTGCTCAGGGTGAACCTGCTCTCATCTGTGAAAAGCACAGGGAGCCAGTGGTGGACCTGCCAATTCTGGTGTTCAATGGCAAATGCCAATCCAGCTCTATGGTGCCGGGCAGTGAGCACAGGGCCCACTAGAGGATGTCGGGCCCTCAGACCACCCTCATGAAGTCTCTTTCTGATTGTTTGGTCAGAGACATTCACACCAGTGGCCTGCTGGAGGTAATTTTGTAGGGCTCTGGCAGGGCTCATCCTGTTCCTCCTTGCACAAAGGAGCAGATACCAGTCCTGCTGATGGGTTAAGGACCTTCTACGGCCCTGTCCAGCTCTCCTAGAGTAACTGCCTGTCTCCTGGAATCTCCTCCATGCTCTTGAGACTGTGCTGGGAGACACAGCAAACCTTCTGGCAATGGTACGTATTGATGTGCCATCCTGGAGGAGTTGGACAGCCTGTGCAACCTCTGTAGGGTCCAGGTATGGCCTCATGCTACCAGTAGTGACACCCGACCCTAGCCAAATGCAAAACTAGTGAAGAACATTCAGAAAAGATGAGCAGGGAAAGAAATGTCAGTGGCCTCCATCTGTAAAACCATTCCTGTTTTGGGGAATTTCCTTCAAATTGGGCTGGCAGAAAAGCGGACCTGAAAGTGAAGTAGTCCCTTAAAGAGTAACTCGACTTCTGTTAATAAAATAACCCCCCCCCCCCCCCCCCCCCCGGGTGATCTATGTACATTGCAGGGACTTTCACAAACTTTGTTGCAGATTCCTACCTTTTTGTTATTCTGAAGAAATAGCTGTTTGTTTGTCTGCATCCATGTGCAGAGTGAATGTAAAATTATCAATCAGCTGCTGCACTTTCAGAGCTCTAAGGAGGAAAGCGTCAGGGTCTGCATCCCTTTAGATGTGATTTTCCTTTTGGATTGTCTCACCAGAAATGACATTTTTGTTGCAGGGGATGCCCAAAAATCTGACTTGCATCTTAGTGCAGACTTCTGGGAAATTCAGTAAGCCAGTAACACAAATAGGAAATGACCTCCATGGAAGTGGAATTACTCTTAAGGGCCAGTTCGCACTCTGCCCTAATCTGAATCGCATGGGAATGTGCGTTCCTGTGCGATTCATAAGCAGGCCTATGTGGTGCGATTCCAAGCCCGCCATTTTTGGACTATGCGCACTCCCTGGGAGCGCGTGGCACCGCGATCCGGTGCCCGCTGTGTCCTCCAGACACCGATCGCTGTACGGGACCTCTGTGTGAGGTCCTGATCATGTGATCACTGATTGGCCAATTAGTGATCACATGAATAGGAGTAAGTAAGATGTCACTTCTGACATCATTGCTTACTATGTGTGAAATCTGTGAATGATCACATTGATCACATGGTACAGGGCTATTCACAACAGCCTTGTACCATGTGACAAGCTGTGACCAATCACAGCTCACACAGTAGTTCTCAATGGCTGCAAGAATGCAGCCAGAGAGAAGGAGAAATTATTGCTTTTATAGCCTTTATGGGTGTAAAAGCAATCAGTGTAAAAAAAAAAAAAATCTTCATCACCCCCCACAAGTAGTACAGTGTCACAATGGTGACACTGTACTGCTAGGGTGACAGTATGTAAAAAAAAAAAACCCATAAATAATAATATAAAAAAATAAAATAAAAATGTAAAAAATAGATTTTGAAAAATTATAATTTTTGGTTATAAACTAATTTGGGTTTTCTTTTTGTTTACTAAAAAGATAATTGAATACATTTTGGTCAAGATTTATAAAGAAAGATTATTTATTTGCAAATGTTTATAAGAAAAACGTTTTTTTTTTTCAACATTTTTGGACTTTTTCATTTATATAGCAAAAAAAAAAATAAAAATCCCACCAAAATAAAGTTTTATGTCTCAAAAAAAAATCATATGGGTACAGTGTTGCATGACCGCGCAATTGTCATTCAAAGTGTGACAGTGCTGAAAGCTGAAAATTGGCCTGGACAGGAAGGGGGGAAAGTGTCCGAACTGGAAGTGGTTAACTTTAACTGACCCCCCCTCCCCCCCCAGCATATCATAAGGAATTGTGATTGGAATGCAGTCCGGGAAGCTGCACATGAACGTGGCTTTCCCGCACCGCATTCTAGTGTGAATGAACCCTGTTGAGAAAAAAAAACGTTCCCCTCTGAGCGATCTGTGCACATTGCAGGGATTTTAACAAACTTTGTATCAGATTCCTACCTTTTGTTGCTGTGAAGAAATAGCTGTTTGTTCCACCAGACCGATTGCAGACTCATTCTGAATGGGAGGATCTGGTGCATTGTAATCACCCGGCGCGCTGCCAGTGTTCTGATGAGAAAAGCCGCATCCCTTTTAGAAGTATCTAACCCATGTAGAGTATCTTGCCGAAACTGGAGTACCTATTGCAGGGAATGCCTAAAATCTGACTTGTATCTTAGTGCAGACTTCTGGGAAAATCAGTGAGCCAATCACACATGCAGGAAATGCCATCTGTGTATAGAATGCCTCCAGGTTGAATTTTACAGGAAATTACAGCAACTGCAGATTGAGAAGGAAATTTTATTTTTATAGGTAAACATTACAATCTGACTCATGTAGCCCATGTACAGTTGTGTTCAAAATACTAGCAGTCAGACATCACTAACCGGATCCATCACTGTTTTGGTGGAAATGATATTTCTACATGGCAAATAATTCCTAGCAGGTGTAGTAGAGTCATAGAAATCCAACAGACCCAACAGTCATGACATGCATGCTGCTGATTCTGTGTCATTGAATCACTCATTGAAAGGGGCGTGTTCAAAATAATAGCAGTGTGGAGTTCTATTAGTGAGGTCATTCATTCTTTGAAAAACAGGTGGCAATTATTGCCCTTATATTAAAGGAAGGAAGGCAGCAAATGTTGTACCTGCTGGTTACAGTGCATTTCTCTCTGAAATTCTGAGGAAAATGGGTCGTTCCAGACATTGTTCAGAAGAACAGCGTACCTTGATTAAAAAGTTGATTGGAGAGGGGAAAACATATAAAGAAGTGCAGAAAATGATCGCTGCTCAGCTAAAATGATGGCAAATGCTTTAAAATGGCAACCAAAACCTGCAAGAGACGTGGAAGAAAGCGAAAAACTACCATTGGAATGGATAGAAGAATAGCCAAAATGGCGCGGACTCAGCCAACAATCAGCTCCAGGAAGATGAAAGAAGGTGTGACGTTCCCTGTGAGGACTGTTACAATTAGAAGACGCCGATGTGAAGCCAAGCTATCTGCAAGAAGTCCCCGCAAAGTCCCACTGTTGGGAAAAAGACGTGTGCTGAAGAGGTTACAATCTGCCAAAGAGCACATTGACCGGCCTAAAGAGAAATGGCGCAACGTTTTGTGGACTGATGAAAGTAAGATTGTTCTTTTTGGGTCTAGTGGGCGGAGACAGTTTGTCAGACGACCCCCAAACACTGAATTCAAGCCACAGTACACTGTGAAGACAGTGAAGCATGGTGGTGCAAGCATCATGATATGGGGATGTTTCTCATACTACGGTGTTGGGCCTATTTATCGCATACCAGGGATCATGGATCAGTTTGAATCCATCAGAATACTTGAAGAGGTCATGCTGCCTTATGCTGAAGAGGAAAATGCCCTTGAAATGGGTGTTCCAACAAGACAACGACCCCAAACGCACCAGTAAACGTGCAACATCTTGGTTCCAGACCAACAAGATGGACGTTATGGAGTGGCCAGCCCAATCCCCGGATCTTCATCCAATAGAAAACTTGTGGGTGACATCAAAAATGCCGTTTCTGAGGCAAAACCAAGAAATAGAGAAGAACTGTGGAATGTGGTCCAATCATCCTGGGCTGGAATACCTGATCACAGGGGCCAGAAGTTGGGGGACTCCATGCAACACAGATGTACAGCAGTTCTCAGAAACAGTGCGACTACAACCAAATATTCATGAAGTCATTCAAAGGAAAGCAAAATCTTCAAACATTTCTCAGTTTATATAGTGAATGTTTGAGTTTGTAAAGAAGAATACAAACACTGCGATTTTTTTGAACCGTCTAATATTCACTTTTCTTTCCATTTTTTTAGAGGAACAACACAAATTTGATGTATTTTTTTTCATGTTTTGATTTGGAATAGAATGTGTCGTGTTCCCAATGCATTTGTGTGGATGGAAATAAAAGTATTAGAAGGATTTTCAGCTTTAATCGCTTTTTTTTCAACACACTGCTATTATTTTGAACACAACTGTATATGTTTTTTTTTTAATCATTTTTCTTTTTCAAGAAAGTGGGGGTTACCCTTTAAACACATTAATTTGTGTAAAGAAAAAAACATCAACCAACTAATTATTGAACAAATATAAATAAATAATAACTGGAATTTGTTCTTTTGAATGGTACCAGGTGATCAGCACTCCAACCGACTTCTTCATGGTGATGGAGTACGTCGCCGGAGGAGAGTTTATTCGACTATATATGCAAACATGGCCGGGTGAGTCAGAGCGTGCCCAGCATGCTGGAAAAATCTCTGTGCTGTCATTGTCCTTCTGGTGTCCCCGTTGTCTCAATATTCCTACTCAGTGAATTCAAAGATTACCCATAAATAGAATGTAGTTAGTGTGACCACTTCACTGCCTTCCTGCCTATGCCAGTGGTCGGCAAGCCGCGGCTCGCGAGCCACATGCGGCTCTTTACACACATTAATGCGGCTCTTCTGTGTGCCGGGCGCCCGCTCCCCTCCCTCCTCTCGGGCGGCTGCCCCAAAAGTCAGGACTCTGCAGCTAGCCCAGCAATGGGCAAACTACGGCCCGCATACGGCCCGGCGGACCTTTTAATCCGGTCCCGCGGAGCGTGGCAAACATTGGCTGTCAGGATGTAGGCGGGCAGCGTGACGAACTCCTCTCCTCTCACAGTCCGCCCTGAAGACCGGAACGGCGCGGGGGGAACACGGCGAGAGGAACGCGCGGAGCAAAGGTAAGTGAATTGTATACAATATGGGGAATGAATTACTATATAAATAGTACTATGGGGGATGAACTACTATATGGGGGATGAATTACTATGGGGGATGAATTACTATGGGGATGAATTACTATATGGGGGATGAATTACTATATGGGGGGATGAATTACTATATGGGGGATGAATTACTATATGGGGGATTGGAATTACTATGGGGGATGTATTACTATGATTACTATGTGGGGATGAATTACTATATGGGGGGATGAATTACTATATGGGGGATGAATTACTATGGGGGATGAATTACTATATGGGGGATGAATTACTATGGGGGATGAATTACTATATGGGGGATTAATTACTATGGGGATGAATTACTATATGGGGGATGAATTACTATATGGGGATGAATTACTATATGGGGGATGAATTACTATATCGGGGGATGGGAATTTACTATATGGGGGGATGAATTACTATATGGGGGAGAATTACTATGGGGGATGAATTACTATAAGGGGGAGGAATTACTATATGGGGATGAATTACAATATGGGGGATTAATTACTATATGGGGGATGAATTACTATGGGGGATGAATTTACTCTTGGGGAATGAATTAACGATATAAGGGGGATGAGATTTACTATGGGTGGAGGAATTACTATAAGGGGGATGAACTTACTATGGGGGAAATGAATAACTATGGGGGATGAATCTACTATGTGAGGATGAATTTACTATATGGGGGGGGGGGAATTAATTAATATGGATGTGATTACTATATGGGGGGATTAATTTAACTATATGGGGGATGAATTCATTAATGGGGATGAATTACAATGGGGTGATGAATTACTAATAGGGGGATGAATTACTATAAGGGGATGAATTAACTATGGGGGATGAATTACTATGTGGGGGATGAATTACTATGGCGTATGAATTACTATAGGCGGATGAATTACTATATGGGGATGAATTATACTATAGGGTGGATGAATTACTATAATGGGGGATGAATTACTATGGGCGGATGAATTACTATATTGGGGGGTTGGATGAATTACTAATGGGGGATGAATTACTATGGGGATTAATTACTATGGGGGAGGAATTTACTATATGGGCGATGAATTACTATAATGGGGATGAATAACTAAGGGGGAATGAATGACTATAGGGGGGATTAATTACTATGGGGAATGAATTACTATGGTGATGAACTTACAAGGGAATGAATTACTATATGGGGGATGAATTACTATGGGGGATGAATTACTAATATGGGGGATGAATTTACTATGGGGGATGGAATTACTATATGGGGGATGACATTACATGGGGGATGAATTACTATATGGAAGATAATTACTATGGGGGATGAATTACAGATTATGGGGGAATAATTACTATAGTGGGGGATGAATTGAACTTATGGGGGATGGAATTACGATATGGTGGAATGAATTACTATATGGGGGATGAATTTACTAATAGGGTGGAATGAATTACTATATGGGTGAGATGAGAGCGCGCGACAATGGGGCTCTCAAGAATTAAATATAAAAACGTGGTTTTGGCTAGATGAATTACCTATATGGCTCAGGATGAATTACTATGGTTGGAAGAATTACTATATGGCCTAGATGATTACTATGGGGATGAATTCACTACAATGGGGGGATGAATCACACTGGGGGATGAATTACTATGGGGGGATGAATTTAGCTAGTCATGGGGGACTGAATCTTACTGACAGGGGATGAGATACGATGGGGGATGAATTACTATAGGTGGATGAATTACAATGGGGAATGAATTACTATATGGTGGTATTTGAATTCCATGCGTGGGATGAATTACTATATGGCGGATTAATTACTATAATGGGGGAGAATTACTATATGAGGGATGCATTACAATATGGGGGATGAATTACTAAATGGGTGGATGAATTACTACTGGGGGACTGAATTACTATATGGAGATGACATTACTATGGGGGCATTAATGGTACGATATGGGGATGATAACTATAGGGGGGATGACATAATGGTGACTCCAGGGAATGTATAAAATACAGTTTTACAAAGTAGTGGCTCATCATAACATAAATATGAATCGTGCACTTTGGCGAGATTTGGCTCAGTTGATAAAAAAGGTTGCCCACCACTGCCTAGCCAACTTGCAGCTTTGTAACACTGTCACACTTTGAATGACTGTTGCGGCGGTCATGCAACACTGTACGATATGACATTTCACTATCATTTTTCCAAGTGACACCAATATGTCCATCCAGGACCATCCTGTCTCCAAAGTGACATCATTATGCCCCCCCACCGTGCTACAATTATGTTCCTGCCGTGCCCCCCCAGAGCCATCCTGTATCCCATGTGCCACCATTATGTCTCCCCAGGGCAATCCTGTCTCTTGTGTGTTTGGTGTGTTTTTGCTGGTTTCTCCCTCAAAACAACAGACACCCCCCAAAAATGCAAAACACATTAAAAGCATGGCAAAAATGCACATGAAAAAAATGCATCTGGAAAACTCGCATCAGCCACAGCCTGCATACTGTGAACCAGGCCTACTGGCTACTTTCACACTGCTCCATTGCAGAAACATGGTAGACACGCGTATGTGTTTTTGCCACCTTTCCAGTGCATTTTGCACCTGTCAAAAAGGACACGTGACTCAAAAACCACACCGAAAATGCAACCGTGGATACATTTTTGATGCAGTTTCCATTCATTTTTATGGGGCGATGTGTTTTTGGTTTGTGTGCACCAAAAATGCAGCAAGCAGGACTTTGAAAAGTGCAACTGAGCCGTGTGAAGAGTTCCACAGGATTTAATGGTCAACAGAAGGAAAACTGATCAGTGTGAAAGCAGGTTCAGAGTTCATGGGCCCGCCATGCGTTTTTTTTTTTTTTTTACTTTAACCACCTCCCATCTGGCCGTTGTATATAAAACGGCTGGGCGGTAGCAGTGCAGGATCAGGTGGCCGTTTATAAACAGCCTCCTGCCCCCTGCTTGTGCGCACTCACTGGGAGTGCACAGCACCGCGATATAGTGCCCGCCGTGTCCTCCGAATACACAGTGGAACACACGATCGTCATATGGGACCTCTGTGCGAGTTCCCGATCATGTGATCACTGATTGGCCAATCAGTGATCACATGCAGAGTAGTAAGCAAGATGTCACTTCTGACATCATTGCTTACTACGTGTGAAATCTGTGAATGATCAACTCCGAGATCACATGGTACAGGGCTATTCACAACAGCCTTGTCCATGTGACCCAATCACAGCTCACACACAGTAGTTCTCAATGGCTGCAAGAATGCAGACAGAGAGAAGGAGAAATGATTGCTTTTACAGCCTTTATAGGTAAAAGAAAAAAAAATCTTCATCACCCCCCACAAGTAGTACAGTGTCACCATGGTGACACTGTACTGCTAGGGCGACAGTATGTACAAAAAACCAACCATAAATAATATAAAAAATATATAAAATTAAAAACAATGTTTAAAAAATTATAGTTTTTGGTTTAAAAATAATTTGGGTATTATTTTTTTTTTAATAAAAAGATAACGGAATAAATTTTGGCCAAGATTTATGATGAAATATTATTTATTTGCAAAATTTGATAAGAAAAAAAACACTTTTTTTTTTTGTTCAAAAGTTTTGGGACTTTTTCATTTACATAGCAAAAAATAAAATAAAAATAAAGCTTTATCTGTCTCAAAAAAATGCTAAAAAATTCATACGGGTAGAGTGTTGCATGACCGCGCAATTGTCATTCAGAGTGTGATAGTGCTGAAAGCTGAAAATTGGCCTGGACAGGAAGGGGGTGAAAGTGTCCGGACTGGAAGTGGTTAAATTTATGTCACCCAAATCCAGGCCTTTGCAGCACAGTTATAAATGCGTCCCTGGTATATTTGTAGTCCAGTTTGGCTGTCCACAAAACAAACGTCTCCTCTGCCCCGTCACAGGTGGAAGAAACCCGAGGCCCGGCGTCTGTTCCAGCAGATCCTGTCAGCCGTGGATTACTGCCACCGTCATATGGTGGTTCACCGGGACCTGAAGCCTGAGAACGTCCTGCTGGATGCACACATGAATGCCAAGATTGCTGACTTTGGTATGTGAGCGGCCCAGAACCCAGCCAAGAACAAGGTCGTTGGCTGAAGGTTGTCAGTGTGCAGATCCCTCCCAGAATGCCGCATGCCTGAGCCAGCCGAGCGACCTTCACAAGGCTTCTGAGAGCCTGGAGAACAACACACTGAGAGGCTGAGAAATGTACAGACCCCCCCAGGAGCCAATCAGGAGTTATTATACACTCACCTGGCTGCTGGAGGGTTAAACCTGCTTATAGAGGGTTCAGTCATTACTGATTGGAATGAGCCCAGATATGGAGGGGAGAGAATCTATCCGGGATTGGCTTCTGCAAAACATCCTTTGTATATGAAGCAGCTCAGAAATGACAAAATTATCTATACAGGAAAATGAATACAAATATTTCTCTATCTATCTATCTATCTATCTATCTATCTATCTATCTATCTATCTATTATCTATCTATCTATCTATCTATCTATCTATCTATATCTATCTATTATCTATCTATCTATTATCTATCTATCTATCTATCTATCTATCTATCTATCTATTATCTATCTATCTATCAATTATCTATCTATTATCTATCTATCTATCAATTATCTATCTATCTATCTATCTATCTATCTATCTATCTATCTATCTATCTATCTATCTATCTATCTATCTATTATCTATCTATCTATCTATTATCTATCTATCTATCAATTATCTATCTATCTATCTATCTATTATCTATCTATCTATCAATTATCTATCTATCTATCTATCTATCTATCTATCTATCTATCTATCTATCTATCTATCTATCTATCTATCTATCTATCTAACTATCTATTCATATCTATCTATTATCTATCTATCTATCTATTATCTATCTATCTATCTATCTATCTATCTATCTATTCTATCTATTATCTATCTATCTATCTATCTATCTATCTATCTATATCTATCTATTATCTATCTATCTATCTATCTATCTATCTATCTATCTATCTATCTATCTTTCTATCTATTATCTATCTATCTATCTATCTATCTATCTATCTATCTATCTATTATCTATCTATCTATCTATTATCTATCTATCTATCTTTCTATCTATTATCTATCTATCTATCTATCTATCTATCTATCTATCTATCTATCTATTATCTATCTATCTATCTATCTATCTATCTATCTATTATCTACAGTGGGGCAAAAAAGTATTTAGTCAGCCACCAATTGTACAAGTTCTCCCACTTACAAAGATGAGAGAGGCCTGTAATTGGCATCATAGGGAGACCTCAACTATGAGAGACAAAATGAGAAAACAAATCCAGACAATCACATTGGCTGATTTGGAAAGAATTTATTTGCAAATTATGGTGGAAAATAAGTATTCAGTGAATATCAATAGTTCATGTCAATACTTTGTTATATATCCTTTGTTGGCAATGACAGAGGTCAGACGTTTCCTGTAAGTCTTCACAAGGTTGGCACACACTGTTGCTGGTATGTTGGCCCATCCTCCATGCAGATCTCCTCTAGAGCAGTGATGTTTTGGGGCTGTCGCTGGGCAACACGGACTTTCAACTCCCTCCAAAGGTTTTCTATGGGGTTGAGATCTGGAGACTGGCTAGGCCACTCCAGGACCTGGAAATGCTTCTTACGAAGCCACTCCTTCATTGCCGGGCGGTATGTTTGGGATCATTGTCATGTTGGAAGACCCAGCCACGTTTCATTGTCAATGCCCTTGCTGATGGAAGGAGGTTTGCACTCAAAATCTCACGATACATGGCACCATTCATTCTGTCCTGTACATGGATCAGTCGTCCTGGACCCTTTGCAGAGAAACAGCCCCAAAGCATGATGTTGCCACCCCCATGCTTCACAGTAGGTATGGTGTTCTTTGGATGCAACTCAGCATTCTCTCTCCTCCAAACACGACAAGTTGTGTTTCTGCCAAACAGTTCTATTTTGGTTTCATCTGACCATATGACATTCTCCCAATCCTCTTCTGGATCATCCAAATGCTCTCTAGCAAACTTCAGACGGGCCCGGACATGTACTGGCTTAAGCAGGGGGACACGTCTGGCACTGCAGGATTTAGTCCCTGACGGCGTAGTGTGTTACTGATGGTAGCCTTTGTTACGTTGGTCCCAGCTCTCTGCAGGTCATTCACTAGGTCCCCCCGTGTGGTCCTGGGATTTTTGCTCACCGTTCTTGTGATCATTTTGACCCCACGGGGTGAGATCTTGCGTGGAGCCCCAGATCGAGGGAGATTATCAGTGGTCTTGTATGTCTTCCATTTTCTAATTATTGCTCCCACAGTTGATTAGTTCACACAAGCTGCTTGCCTATTGCAGATTCAGTCTTCCCAGCCTGGTGCAGGTCTACAATTTTGTTTCTGGTGTCCTTCGACAGCTTTTTAGTCTTCACCATAGTGGAGTTTGGAGTGTGACTGTTTGAGGTTGTGGACAGGTGTCTTTTTATACTGATAACAAGTTCAAACAGGTGCCATTGATACAGGTAATGAGTGCAGGACAGAGGAGCCTCTTAAAGAAGAAGGTACAGGTCTGTGAGAGCCAGAAATCTTGCTTGTTTGTAGGTGACCAAATACTTATTTTTCACCATAATTTGCAAATAAATTCTTTCCAGATCAGCCAATGGGATTGTCTGGATTTGTTTTCTAATTTTGTCTCTCCTAGTTGAGGTCTACCTATGATGCCAATTACAGGCCTCTCTCATCTTTGTAAGTGGGAGAACTTGCACAATTGGGTGGCTGACTAAATACTTTTTTTTGCCCCACTGTATCTATCTATTATCTATCTATCATCTGTCTATCTATCTATCTATCTATCTCTCTATCCCATCCAACTATAATCTTTCTATCTATCTATAGATATATTGCCAGAAGTATTTGCCCTGCCCTCCCAGTCATGTGATTCAGGTGTTCCAATCCCCTCCATGGACACAGGTGTATACAATCATCCCCTAGGCATGCAGACGGCTTCTACAAACATTGGTGAAAGAATGGGTCGCTCTCAGGAGCTCAGTGGCTCCAAGCGTGGTCCCGTGATAGGTGGTCACCTGTGCAATAAGTCCATCCGTGACATTTCCTGGCTACTAAATATTCCACGCTCAACTGTTAGTGGGATTATAACAAAGTGGAAGCCACTGGGAACAACAGCAACTCAGCCACCAAGTGGTAGGCCACGTCACATGACAGGGCGGGGTCAGCGCATGCTGAAGCGCACAGTGCGCAGAAGTCGCCAACTGTCTGCAGAGTCAATAGCTAAAGACCTCCAAACTTGGTGTGGCCAGGAGAACGGTACTTGCCTGACTGCATTTGGGCCAAGTGTAAAGTTTGGTGGAGGGGGGGATTATGGTGTGGGGGTGTTCCTCAGGGGTTGGACTTGGCCCCCTAGTTCCAGTGAAGGTAACCCTTAAGGCGACATTTTGGAAAATTTCATGCTCCCAATTTGTGGGAAGAGTTTGGGGATGGCCCCTTCCTGTTCCAACATGACTGCGCACCAGTGCACAAAGCAAGGTCCATAAAGACATGGAGGAGCCAGTTTGGGGTGGAGGAACTTGACTGTCCTGCACAGAGTCCTGACCTCAAACCCCATAGAACACCTTTGGGATGAATTAGAGCGGAGAGACTGCGAGCCAGGCCTCCTCCCCCGACATCAGTGCCTGACCTGACAAATGTGCTTCTGGAAGAATGGTCCAACCTTCCCATAGACACCCTCCTAAACCTTGTGGACGGCCTTCCCAGAAGAGTTGAAGCTGTTATAGCTGCAAAGGGCGGGGCCAACTCAATATTGAACCCTACGGACTAAGACTGGGAGGCCATGAAAGGATATATATTTGTTTTGGAGGAAATAGGAAATAAATATTTTTATTAATTGTATGTATTAAAAAATTATATTTTAGATGACATTTTGTTTTTTTTTTTGGGGAGGTTGTTATTGCGGTCTGTGCCCCCACTGGGCAGATTGGCTTCCTCTATTTGCTCTGGTGACCAACATCCCTAGGACTAAAGTTAGAAGACCAATCTAAAACTGTTGTCACCTGAACCTGAGTGGAGATGAAATCTTCCTGTGCCGATCCCTGTCCTGGTGACAAAGGCCTAGAAAGGGAATTTTGCTTGACTCTGAAGAAGTTATATTATCCCATTTACTGTTACATCTAGGACCAGGGGTGGACTGACAAAAACTCATGGGGGGGGGGCAATAGGGGATCATGGGGCCCCTGCGTCCTTGCCCAAACTCAAAAAAGCCTATGAAAAATGGTACCAGGGGCATCTCATGGGGCCCCCTACTAACCCCCGGCCCTTGGGCAGTGCCCAAGTTTCCAAATGGTCAGTCCGCCCCTGTCTAGGACACAATTGTCCCTAAAGCAAGAGGCGAGGGGGAAATCTTGCCAGTGGAGACACCTGTTCTGGGGACACTTGTCTCACTTTGAGAGATTTCCTCTAACTTCCTGTCTTATCTCTGAGATTGGAAGTGAAGAGAAATTTCCATAATGGGACACAGACAGTAAAGCTTTTTTTTTTTTTATTTTGGACGGTGGTTGGAAGGGAAGGATTAGAAGAGTTAGTCCCATGTACACGGGACACTTCTGAACGATAAAAAACTGACTGCTGGAAAACGTAGGTTAAAAAAAAACGTCCGTTTTACCTGCGTTTTCATAACGCGTTTATGTGCTTTTGCGTTTAGAAGCGTTTTTTTTAAGAGAAGCACAGGAGAACCTCCCAAATGCCCAGAATGCACTGAAAAGTGGTAAATTATTAACTATTTCAGACTGTTTCAGAGAAATACAGAGAGTAGAAGCAGAGATAGCAGTATGTGTAGAGATTAGTTTAGGTGTGAGTTGCTCATTAACATTTCTCTTGTTTCCAAGGGTGGGAAAGGTGTCTGGTGGGGGGAATCATTAAGGCCACCTGGCAGGGGGGGGTCCTCATGAGGAATTTGAGGTGTGAATGGTCATTAACATATCTTTTGTTTCCAAGGATTGGGAGAGGTCTGAGTGTGAATGTTCATTAACATATCTTTTGTTTCCAAGGGTAGGAGAGGTTGAGGTGTGAATGGTCATTAACATATCTTTTGTTTCCAAGGGTGGGAGAGGTCTGAGGTGTGAATGGTCATTAACATATCTTTTGTTTCCAAGGGTGGGAGAGGTCTGAGGTGTGAATTGGTCATTACAAGGTGTGACAAGCTTGGGAGGAACATCCTGTGTTCAGTGTTTTGTCCATCTGAGTACCTTGAAAACTCTTTGCATGCATTTTTCATGATGAAAAAAGGCTCTGGACAGCATCGGGAACTGGAAGAGTTAAAAAAAAAAAAAATTCAAACGCAAATGCTTACAAACGCGATTTGCCACGTTTACAAGCGTTTTGCGTTTGAAACGCTGATAAAATCGACGTCTGAACAAGTTTGTTGCGTTCAAAAAAACAACTGTAAACTCAACTGCCTGTAAACGACTGTAAATGATGATGTGTACATGGACAACATTAGGGGGAGTTCAGGGGCTGCTGAAAAAAAAACGCTGAACAGCTCCTGAACGTCAGTTTATCAGCTGCAGTGTACATGAGCCCTTATTGCTGCCCGGGTCCCTGCTGGGGAGATTCACCTTCTCTATTTATATATAATTGAATTCAATCTATACAAAAATGTTACCGTTGTCACCGGAGCAGGAATAGAAGGAAAATCTTCCAATGGAGACATGTGACAAAGAAGATTTTTTTTTTCAGAGATCTCTTAGCTCTTTGGTAAGATGTTGTTTCTCCAGGACAGGAAGTAAGAGGAAATCTCCCCAGTGGGACGCAGACTGCAAAATGAAATGGGTTCTAATCTTCCCCTACCCTATTTTAGATGGAAAGAAAAAAAATTATATACTTTAGTTATACTTTATGCATCTTTTTAGATTGTAAGCTCCCAGGATCAGGCCCTCCTATCCCTCTTGTATTGAACTGTATTGTTGCTGTATTGTCTCCCGTTTATATTGTAAAGCGCTGAGCAAAAAAATGTTGGCGCCATAAATCCTGTATAATAATAATAATAATAATATAAATCCTTTATGATAATAATAATAATAAAATATAAATCCTGTTTAATAATAATAATAAAAATATAATTCCTGTATAATAATAATAATAATAGAAATTCCTGTATTAATAATAATAATAAAAATATAAATTTGTATAATAATAATAATAATAAATATATAAATCCTGTATAATTTTATTTTAATTTAATATATATCCTGTATAATAATAATAATACAAATATAAATCCTGTATTAATAATAATAATAATAATAATAAAAATATAAATCCTGTATAATAATAATAATAAAAATATAATTCCTGTATATATAATAATAATAATTTTAAAAATATAAATCCTGTATAATAATAATAATAATTAAATTTTTGTATAATAATAATAATAAAAAAATATAATTCCTGTATAATAATTTTTTTAATAATAATAATAAAAATATAAATCCTGTATAATAATAATAATAATATAAAATCCTGTATAATAATAATTAATAATAAAAAATATTTTTCCTGTATAATAATAATAATATAAATATCCTGTATAATAATAAAAAATATTAATTCCTGTATAATATTATAATAATAATAATATAAATCCTGTATGATAATTTAATATTAATAATAAAAATTTTTATTTTTTGTATAATAATAATAAAAATATAAATCCTGTATAATAATAATAATAATAATAATAATATAAATCCTGTATTAATAATAATAATAATAATATAAATCCTGTATAATAATAATAATAATTTTAAATATAATTCCTGTATAATAATAATAAAAATATAAATCCTGTATAATAATAATAATAATAATAATATTTTTAAATCCTGTATAATAATAATAATATAAATCCTGTATAAATAATAATAATATGCAAAGCACATAGAATGTTTTCAAACCATTATACAGTATAATTTGTTGTTTGCACGTTATGACGTCATAGTATTTCTGACACTTTGTTTGGTTCAGGTCTCTCTAATATGATGTCAGATGGAGAGTTTCTCCGGACCAGTTGCGGATCCCCGAATTATGCCGCTCCAGAAGTTATATCAGGAAGGTGAGAAATATAGGAGACAGACAGCAACTATGTAATAGACATGCAGAACATTTCCTTTCGGATCGATTCGTTAAGTTACTCATTTCGATTCGTTGCATTCCTAACAGAATTTGCTTCGTTTCTTTATTCGTTTTTGGAGTGGATTCCAATTTTTCCGATTGATTTGAAGTGTTTGAATCGAATCTGAATCGAAAATATTGAATTATTCCAAATTCATTGTGAAGAATAGCTGGTTCTATTTTATTTGAAATTTGAATTTCAGAAGACAGCTCAATTCTTTCTATGTTATTCTATTCTATTTATTTTCTTTTCTATTCTTTTACTTTCTATTCTTTTCTAATCATTTTTTTACTCTATTCTATTCTTTTATATTCCTTTACTTTATATTCTTTTCTAATCATTTTTTACTCTATTCTTTTAGAAATTCGAGTTTCAGAAGATGGCTATATGTTTTTTTATTCTTTTACTTCCTATTCTTTTTTTTTTTCTATTTCTATTTTATTCTAGTCTTTTAGAAATTTGATTTTTTTTTGGCTATATTTTTTCTAATCTACTCTTTTTTGTTTTTCTAATTCCTTTTTTTCTATTTTATTTTATTCCATTCTTTTATTTTTTTATTTATATTCTATTTGGTTCACTTTTTTCTGTTCTTTTCTAAATTCAAATTTCGGAAGATGACTATATTCTTTTTATTATATTCTATTTTTTTTCCATTCTGTTCTATTCTTTTTTATTCCATTCCTTTATTTTATATACTATTCTTTTATTTTCTATTCTATTATATTTTATTTTATTCTGTTGTATTATATTCTTCTTTATTCCTTTATTATCTATTATTTAAAAATTTTTTAATTTTCTTTTCTGTTCTGTTCTATTATGTTTTACTCTATTCTTGTCTAAATTCGAATTTCAGAACACAGTTATATTCTTTTTATTCTATTCAAATATCTTCTGTTTTTTTTTTTTATTCTTTTCTTTTCTATTCTATTATTTTTTATTTTTATTTTTCTCAGTTTTATTCTATTCTATTCTATTCTTTTCTAAATTCGCATAAACATTACCCTAGGCTTGGTGGGCAGTGGGAGAAACAGTGCCCCATCATTGGTGTCAGTGGGAGGAATAGTGCCCCATCATTGGTGTCAGTGGGAGGAATAGCGCCCCATCATTGGTATCAGTGGGAGAAATAGTGCCCATCATTGGTGTCAGTGGGAGGAATAGTGCCCCATCATTGGTGTCAGTGGGAGGAATAGTGCCCCATCATTGGTGTCAGTGGGAGGAGGAATAGTGCCCCATCATTGGTGTCAGTGAGAGGAATAGTGCCCCATCATTGGTTTCAGTGGAAGGAATAGTGCCCCATCATTGGTGTCAGTGGGAGGAATAGTGCCCTATCATTGGTGTCAGTGGGAGGACTAGTGCCCCATCATTGGTATCAGTGGGAGGGATAGTGCCCTATCATTGGTGTCAGTGGGAGGAATAGTGCCCCATCATTGGTATCAGTGAAAGGAATAGTGCCCCATCATTGGTGTCAGTGGGAGGAATAGTGCCCCATCATTGGTGTCAGTGGGAGGAATAGTGTCCCATCATTGGTATCAGTGGGAGGAATAGTGCCCCATCATTGGTATCAGTGGGGGGAATAGTGCCCCATCATTGGTGTCAGTGGAAGGAATAGTGTCCCATCATTGGTATCAGTGGAAGGAATAGTGCCCCATCATTGGTGTCAGTGGGAGGAATAGTGCCCCATCATTGGTGTCAGTGGGAGGAATAGTGCCCCATCATTGGTGTCAGAGGGAGGAATAGTGCCCCATCATTGATGTCATTGATGTCAGTGGGAAGAATTGTGCCCCATCATTGGTGTCAGTGGGAGGAATAGTGCCCCATCATTGGTGTCAGTGGGAGGAATAGTGCCCCATCATTGGTGTCAGGGGGAATAGTGCCCCATCATTGATGTCAGTGGGAAGAATTGTGCCCCATCATTGGTGTCAGTGGGAGGAATAGTGCCCCATCATTGGTGTCAGTGGAAGGAATAGTGTCCCATCATTGGTATCAGTGGGGAGAAGGAATAGTGCCCCATCATTGGTGTCAGTGGGAGGAATAGTGCCCCATCATTGGTATCAGTGGAAGGAATAGTGCCCCATCATTGGTGGTCAGTGGGAGGAATAGTGCCCCATCATTGATGTCAGAGGGAGGAATACTGCCCCATCATTGGTGTCAGTGGGAGGAATAGTGCTCCATCATTGGTGTCAGTGGAAGGAATAGTGTCCCATCATTGGTATCAGTGGAAGGAATAGTGCCCCATCATTGGTGTCAGAGGGAGGAATAGTGCCCCATCATTGGTGTCAGTGGGAGGAATAGTGCCCCATCATTGGTGTCAGTGGGAAGAATTGTGCCCCATCATTGGTGTCAGTGGGAGGAATAGTGCCCCATCATTGGTATCAGTGGAAGGAATAGTGCCCCATCATTGGTATCAGTGGGAGGAATAGTGTCCCATCATTGGTGTCAGTGGGAGGAATAGTGCCCCATCATTGGTATCAGTGGAAGGAAATAGTGCCCCATCATTGGTATCAGTGGGAGGAATAGTGCCCCATCATTGGTGTCACTGGGAGGAATAGTGCCCCATCATTGGTATCAGTGGGAGGAATAGTGTCCCATCATTGGTGTCAGTGGGAGAGGAATAGTGCCCCATCATTGGTATCAGTGGAAGGAATAGTGCCCCATCATTGGTATCAGTGGGAGGAATAGTGCCCCATCATTGGTGTCACTGGGAGGAAAAGTGCCCCATCATTGGTGTCAATGGAAGGAACAGTGTTTCATAAAAAGCCAGAGAAAAGCAAGTAAAGGGCTACATCCAGCCCGCAGGCTGCAGTTTGGAGACCCCTGGTTAAGGGGGTGCTGGACACATAGCTGAGCCCTTTGTGGTTTCTTGGAAAATGTCAGAGACAGGAAATGACATCATAACCATGTAGTTCCACTAGAAAGTACATAACATTTTTCAAGCATTGAACATAAGCTACCACCTAGTGGCACTAAGTACTAATTACAGTATACTATATGAGAATGGCTGTTGCATCAATTTATTCATTTATTTATTTCAGGTACTACTTATATAGCGCCGTCAATTTATGCAGCACTTTACATATATATTACACATTCACATCAGTCCCCGCCTCCGAGGAGCGTACAATCTAAGGTCCCTAACTCACATTCATACATACACATACTAGGGACTATTTAGACAGGAACCAATTCACCTACCAGCATGTCTTTGGAGTGTGGGAGTAAACCGGAGTACCCGGAGGAAACCCACGCAGGCACAGGGAGAACATGCAAACTCCAGGCAGGTGGTGCCATGGTTGGGATTTGAACCAATGACCTTAGTACTGCCAGGCGGAAGTACTAACCATATATCGGTATAAACATGTTGACATCTGTAAGGGTAATCTTCGGGGTGCTGACTGTAACGGAACCAACCCAGTCTGTGCTGAGTTTCTTCCATTAGAATACTACTTCCCCATCCAATCACCGACAACAGACACTACAGCCGACCATACATGACTAGCCGACACCAGTCTTGAAGTAAACCAGGAGGTAGACCAGTTTATTTTAACACAGATACAAGATATGTACATTCAAGGGGACAATCCCCCCCTCCCTGCATAATGACACAGGGTGGGGCAATCTACATTTAGTAACAAGAGACACACAGGTATTCAAACTTCACACCAGCAGACAGTCCCATCAGAAGGGAGGGCTGCTGGAGACACCCCCACACTAAGCTAATGCACATAAACACATACATCCTATAATAGTTTGCTCCCAAACAATAGAACAATGGGATGCAGCCACATAACATCAAACAATCAACAACCCCCCACCCCAATATTAGGAAAGATCACCCTGTACCCCCAACAGGCACAGGGGGACTTACACATAATAGGGATATGGGGAGCGGAGACAGGGGTCTCCCCACCTCTCCAAAGTGAGCCGGGTTCCATGGGCCCCCACCCAAAGTGACGCCCGTCACACTGACCTTCTAAGCAGAGGGCTTTATATTGTGTCCGTGGTCTCCAGCTTTAGTCAGTTTTGCAGTACAGATAAACTCCAAATATTTAGTAGGAATCATCGACTAATTGTAGCTGATCTATCTGTAGATTGTATGCTGGTCCCGAGGTGGATATTTGGAGCTGCGGGGTGATCCTCTACGCCCTACTCTGCGGGACGCTGCCATTTGATGACGAACATGTCCCCACCCTATTCAAAAAAATCAGAGGAGGAGTTTTCTACATCCCAGAATACCTGAACCGTTCCGTCGCTACTTTATTAATGCACATGCTACAGGTCGATCCTCTGAAACGCGCCACTATCAAAGACATCAGGTACGGCATGGAGGGATTCAGGGGTTTATACACAAAAATGAAGAAATTGTGGATAAAACGCATTTTATGTACAGAACTGAGCTAACACTGAGGTATTGGGTGGGCGGGGCTTTGTGGTCTATTTAACCCCTTCCACACTGGGCACTTTTACCTCCCTTCCTGCCCAGGCCAGTTTTCAGGTTTCAGCGCTCTCACACTTTGAATGACAATTGCGCGGTCATACAACATTGTACCCAAACTAAAATTTTATCATTTTCTTCACACAAACTAGAGCTTTCTTTTGATGGTATTTAATCACCACTGGGGTTTTTATTTTTTGCTAAATTAACAACAAAAGACTGAAAATTTTGGGGAAAAAAAAACATGTTTTTCTTTGTTTCTGTTATAAAAGTTTGCAAATAAATAATTGTTCTTCATAAATTTAGGCCGAGATGTATTCTGCTACATGTCTTTGGTGAAAATAACCCAAATTAGGATGTATTTTTTAGTTTGTAGGAAAGTTATAGAGTTCACAAACTATGGTATAGATCTGAATATTGATCAATCCTGAAGTACTGACGGCCAATCTAATTTTTGAGGTCCAAGAATGTCAGAACAGTACAGATATCCCCCAAATGTCAGGACAGTACAGATATCCCCCAAATGTCAGGACAGTACAGATATCCCCCAAATGTCAGGACAGTACAGATATCCCCAAATGTCAGAACAGTACAGATATCCCCCAAATGTCAGAACAGGACAGATATCCCCCAAATGTCAGGACAGTACAGATATCCCCCAAATGTCAGGACAGTACAGATATCCCCCAAATGTCAGAACAGGACAGATATATCCCCCAAATGTCAGACAGTACAGATATCCCCCAAATGTCAGAACAGTCAGGACAGGACAGATATCCCCCAAATGTCAGGACGGTACAGATATCCCCCAAATGTCAGGACAGTACAGATATCCCCCAAATGTCAGGACAGTACAGATATCCCCCAAATGTCAGAACCCCCAGGGACAGTACAGATATCCCCAAATGTCAGGACAGTACAGATATCCCCCAAATGTCAGAACGGTACAGATATCCCCCAAATGTCAGGACAGGTACAGATATCCCCCAAATGTCAGGACAGATATCCCCCAAATGACCCCTTTTTGCAGAGCAGACAGTCTGACGTACTTCATAAGAGGAATGGCAAGTTTTTTGAAGTTGTAATTTTTTTGTCATAATTTTTCAGAAAATGAAAAAATTCAAAAAATTATTTTCACTATTTTTTTTTTACATATTGTCACCAGTGCAGTACAGCGTCATCATATAACTGGCATGGCGGTGATCAGGGACACTGACTGGTGACAGTATGAAAAAAAAAAATATATAATTTGTTTTATTTTTTTTATTTTTTTTTTTAGTTTTCATTTTTTATTAAAGTTTTTTTTCTTTTTTTTTAAGATTTTTTTTTTCATATTTCACTATGACCAAAGTAGTACAATGTTACCATAGTAACATTGTACTACTTTGGGGAAGTGATTAGTATTTTTTTTTTTTTTACACAATTTGCTTATAGCAAAGAATTACTTTGCTATAAGCAAGCATTTACCTGAATGACATCGATTCATTCAGGGTTTTTTTTTTTTTTTTTTGTGCTTAGCTGTGATTTGGTCACGGCTAATCACATGACACACCTGGGCTGTGATTGGCCTAGCTTGTGCATGTGATTGCTGTGACCATTCACAGCTAGACACACTTGTATACAATGGATGGCATGAAAGGAAGCCATTAATTGTATACAACTGTCACGTGACCTGCTGTGATTGGTCACAGCAGGTCACATGGTACCGGCAACGGGGCCGATACTCAGATCTGTCATCGGCCATGTCCGAGGTACACGGCTCTGCAGGTGTGCAAACTGCGCATGCCCGGGAGGACGCCATATGGTGTCCACCCTGAACGCTGAGGGACCATTGGCTGGGCGGCAAAAGGTTAATGTTAAAGCAGAACTCCATCCAATCAGGAACCAATCAGAGTGGCACGCAGTCGGGCTGGTTCACCGCTATTACAAGGTACAGAGCCACTCCGATTGACTCAGTACATTTTGCCTGTCATCTGTGCTGTCCAGTGACCCTTTGATCACAACCATTATCCGGTGTACAGGTCGCCCCTATGTCTTCTCTTCGGCACCAATAATAAACGGCAGTCAAGAAAACCGAGACCACCTCTCCTTTCTATGGCGGAATTGAGGGGATTAATATCATCCCAGGGGCGGACTGACCATTTGGAAACTCGGGCACTGCCCGAGGGCCCGGGTCAGTAGGGGGCCCCATAAGATGCCCCTGCTACCTTTTTCATAGGCTTTTTTTGAGTTTGGGCAAGGACACAGGGGCCCCATGATCCCCTATTGCCCGTGGGCCCCATGAGTTGTCAGTCCGCCCCTGGAACAATCGGAAAGTTGAATAACTTCTCACTTCTAAATGTTTTTTTTGTAGTGAATTCGTTTAGAGTAGCGCCCCTGACCCATTGGTGACCCCGACACTCCCGGGGTTGAGGTGACCCCTTTGAAGGGGAGATGTGAAGGCTTTAATTCCATGTTGTGTTATGACAAGTACAATGTAACCATAGCTGAGTGTATGATAGCATGAAAGGGGGATTATGGGTAATTTCCCACATCCTGACTCTAAGACCCAATACATTAAAGGACTCGTTTCTTCTTTTATGACGACCAGTCAGCTGTGAACATTTCAATCTCCCTTCCTCCCCCTCCATCCCCTCCCCTCTCCCGGCCCCCAGGAAGGGATTTTGGAAAGTGTTCGAGGGCCAATTTTCTGCCGAGCCGTTGTTGTTTTTTCGTTTCTCTTTCCCGTCGCAGCGTCCCGCCGCTTGTTTTGATTGTAGAAAATATAATTGGTTTTCAGATGACGGGGAGAAATGTGTTTCTGGTTCAGTTAGGCGGACAGGTCCCCCGCTCTGCGCGTTGCATCCTGGAGGGCGGTGATGTCACTTAGAAAGCAGGTGACTGATTGGAAAGCAGCTGTAGGAATTATAGCGGTGGTGGTCAGCTTTCTTTATATGGGGGGTCTTAGTTTTTGTTATAAAATTTTGTAAATAAGTGATTTTTTTCCTTCACTGATGTGTGATGAGGCTGCAGTGATGGGCACTGATAGGCTGCACTGATGGACACTGATAGGTGGCACTGATGAGGAGGCACTGGTAGGTGGCACTGATGGGCATTGACAGGCATCACTGACTGGCACTGATAGGTGGCACTGATTGGCAGCACTGATAGGTGGCACTGATTGGCATTGATAGGTGGCACTGACTGGCACTGATGGGTGACACTGAAAGGAAGCTCAGATGGTCACTGATATGTGGCATTGATGTGCACTGGTAGGCACTGATATGTGGTATTGATGTGGCACTGATGGGCACAGGCACATGGCACTGTTCAGCACTGAGAGCTGGCACTGATGGACACTGACAGGTGGCACTTCTGGGGCCACACTGATCATCAGTGCCCTTATGATCAGTGTAGATGTCCCCTCCGCGGAATGCCGATTACCGGCTCTCCTCTCCTCTCCTCTGTCAGCGTGACAGCTCGAGAGGAGAGAAATGCCGATAACCGGGATTTCCCTGTTTACATGTGATCAGCTGTGATTGGACACAGCAGATCACATGACCGAGCCGACATCTTTGGCTCTCTTTCCGTGATCGGTGATCCGCTGTGTCCGAGGGACAATGCGCACCACCAATCGCCGCGCTACGCGCTCCCTGAGCCACGCATGCGCGGTGAGAATGGGAGGACGTCATAGAATGAGAATAGGTGAGAATGGGAGGACGTGATGTCCTCCCAGAACAAGAGAACCACCTTGCGCCCGTCATTGGACTATATGGCGGGCAGGAGGTGGTTAAAGTAACCATTTAACCATTTTAGCAATGCATAAGATACATAATTGCCCCGGCAGACCAGTGATAGTTTAGGAGTCTTCAAAAAGTCAGTGCACGTGTAAGACAGGTTAGATAATCTTCACAAAGGAGCGGAATGGATTTCGGAAAGATCGGGAGTCGATCCTTCACTTTTCAAACATCTCAATTTTGTTGAATTTTTCTTTCAAAATTCATTTTTGTCAAATTTTCCTTTGTTCCGGCAGAGAACACGAATGGTTCAAGCAAGACCTTCCCAGCTACTTGTTCCCGGAGGACCCCAACTACGACGCCAATGTTATCGATGATGAGGCGGTGAAGGAGGTGTGTGAGAAGTTCGAATGTACGGAGTCGGAGGTGATGAACAGCCTGTACAGTGGTGACCCTCAGGACCAGCTCGCCGTGGCCTACCATCTGATCATAGACAACCGGAGGATAATGAACCAGGCCAGCGAGTTCTACCTCGCCTCCAGCCCACCGACCGGCTCCTTCATGGACGACATGCATATCCCCCCTGGCATCAAACCGCACCCGGAGAGGATGCCACCCCTGGTGGCGGACAGCCCCAAGGCCCGGTGCTCTCTGGATGCCCTGAACACTACCAAACCCAAACCACTAGCTGTGAAAAAAGCCAAGTGGCACCTGGGAATCCGCAGCCAGAGCAAACCTCATGACATCATGGCGGAGGTCTACCGGGCGATGAAGCAGCTGGACTTCGAATGGAAGGTGAGCCTGGCTGTGTCAGGTCAGCATCAGCTATCAATAGGTAGATTAGAATAGAAAATAAAGGAATAGAATAGAAAAGAATAGAATAGAATGAATATAGACGTCTTCCGAATTTTGAAAATAATAGATTAGAATAAAACAGAATAGAATAGAAAATAATAGTTACATAGTTAGTCTGGCTGAAAAAAAAAAGTCCATCCAAAAACATTTATTTTATTATACATGGAGATCATATCCCCCCTTATGTATTATACATGGTGATCATATCCCCTCTTATCTATTATACATGGTGATCATATCCCCCCTTATGTATTATACATGGAGATCATATCCCCCCCTTATGTATTATACATGGAGATCATATCCCCCCTTATGTATTATACATGGAGATCATATCCCCCCTTATTTATTATACATGGAGATCATATCTCCCCCTTATGTATTATACATGGAGATCATATCCCCCTTTATGTATTATACATGGAGATCATATCCCCCCTTATGTATTATACATGGAGATCATACCCCCCTTATGTATTATACATGATCATATCCCCCTTATGTATTATACATGGAGATCATATCCCCCCTTATGTATTATACATGGTGATCATATCCCCCTTATGTATTATACATGGAGATCATATCCCCCCTTATGTATTATACATGGAGATCATATCCCCCCTTATGTATTATATATGGAGATCATATCCCCCCTTATGTATTATACATGGAGATCATATCCCCCTTATGTATTATACATGGAGATCATATCCCCCCCCTTATGTATTATATACATGGAGATCATATCCCCCTACTTATGTATTATACATGGAGATCATATCCCCCCTTATGTATTATACATGGTGATCATATCCCCCCTTATGTATTATACATGGTGATCATATCCCCCCCTATGTATTATACATGGAGATCATATCCCCCCTTATGTATTATACATGGAGATCATATCCCCCCCTTATGTATTATACATGGAGATCATATCCCCCTTATGTATTATACATGGAGATCATATCCCCCTTATGTATTATACATGGAGATCATATCCCCCCTTATGTATTATACATGGGTGATCATATCCCCTCTTATGTATTATACATGGAGATCATATCCCCCCCCTTATGTATTATACATGGAGATCATATCCCCCCTTATGTATTATACATGGAGATCATATCCCCCCTTATGTATTATACATGGAGATCATATCCCCCCCTTATGTATTATACATGGAGATCATATCCCCCCTATATGTATTATACATGGAGATCATATCCCCCCTTATGTATTATACATGGAGATCATATCCCCCCTTATGTATTATACATGGAGATCATATCCCCCTTATGTATTATACATGGAGATCATATCCCCCCTTATGTGTTATACATGGAGATCATATCCCCTCTTATGTATTATACATGGTGATCATCATACCCCCCCCCCCCCTTATGTATTATACATGGAGATCATATCCCCCCTTATGTATTATACATGGAGATCATATCCCCCTTTATGTATTATACATGGAGATCATATCCCCCTTTATGTATTATACATGGAGATCATATCCCCCCTTATGTATTATACATGGAGATCATATCCCCCCTTATGTATTATACATGGAGATCATATCCCCCCTTATGTATTATACATGGAGATCATATCCCCCCTTATGTATTATACATGGAGATCATATCCCCCTTTATGTATTATACATGGAGATCATATCCCCCCCTTATGTATTATACATGGAGATCATATCCCCCCTTATGTATTATACATGGAGATCATATCCCCCCTTATGTATTATACATGGAGATCATATCCCCCCCTTATGTATTATACATGGAGATCATATCCCCCCTTATGTATTATATACATGGTGATCATATCCCCCCTTATGTATTATACATGGAGATCATATCCCCCTTATGTATTATACATGGAGATCATATCCCCCCCCCCTATGTATTATACATGGAGATCATATCCCCCCTTATGTATTATACATGGAGATCATATCCCCCCTTATGTATTATACATGGAGATCATATCCCCCCTTATGTATTATACATGGAGATAATATCCCCCCCTTATGTATTATACATGGAGATCATATCCCCCCTTATGTATTATACATGGAGATCATATCCCCCCTTATGTATTATACATGGAGATCATATCCCCCCTTATGTATTATACATGGAGATCATATCCCCCTTTATGTATTATACATGGAGATCATATCCCCCCTTATGTATTATACATGGAGATCATATCCCCCCTTATGTATTATACATGGAGATCATATCCCCCTTATGTATTATACATGGAGATCATATCCCCCCTTATGTATTATACATGGAGATCATATCCCCCCTTATGTATTATATAGATCATATCCCCCTTAGAGATCATATCCCCCCCCCTATGTATTATACATGGAGATCATATCCCCCTTATGTATTATACATGGAGATCATATCCCCCCTTATGTATTATACATGGAGATCAATATCCCCCTTATGTATTATACATGGAGATCATATCCCCCCTTATGTATTATACATGGAGATCATATCCCCCCCTTATGTATTATACATGGAGATCATATCCCCCTTTATGTATTATACATGGAGATCATATCCCCCTTATGTATTATACATGGAGATCATATCCCCCCCTTATGTATTATACATGGAGATCATATCCCCCCTTATGTATTATACATGGAGATCATATCCCCCCCCTATGTATTATACATGGAGATCATATCCCCCCCCTTATGTATTTATACATGGAGATCATATCCCCCTTATGTATTATACATGGAGATCATATCCCCCCTTATGTATTATACATGGAGATCATATCCCCCCTTATGTATTATACATGGAGATCATATCCCCCCTATGTATTATACATGGAGATCATATCCCCCCCCTTATGTATTATACATGTAGATCATATCCCCCCTTATGTATTATACATGGAGATCATATCCCCCTTATGTATTATACATGGAGATCATATCCCCCCTTATGTATTATACATGGAGATCATATCCCCCTTTATGTATTATACATGGAGATCATATCCCCCCCCTTATGTATTATACATGGAGATCATATCCCCCCTTATGTATTATACATTATACATGAGATCATATCCCCCCTTATGTATTATACATGGAGATCATATCCCCCCCTTATGTATTATACATGGAGATCATATCCCCCCTTATGTATTATACATGGTGATCATATCCCCCCTTATGTATTATACATGGTGATCATATCCCCCCCTTATGTATTATACATATCCCCCTTAGTATTATACATATCCCCCCTTATGTATTATACATGGAGATCATATCCCCCCCCCCCTTATGTATTATACATGGAGATCATATCCCCCTTATGTATTATACATGGTGATCATATCCCCCCTTATGTATTATACATGGTGATCATATCCCCCCTTATGTATTATACATAGAGATCATATCCCCCCTTATGTATTATACATGGAGATCAATCCCCCTTATTATTATACATGGAGATCATATCCCCCCTTATGTATTATACATGGAGATCATATCCCCCCTTAATTTCCTCTTCTCAAGAGAGAATAAATTCAGTTCCTCTAATCTTTCTTCATAGCTGAGCTCTTCCATGCCTCTTATCTAGAATAAGATAGAATAGAAAATAAAGGAATAGAAAAGAATAAAAAATAATTTATTAGAATAAACAATAGAATATAACAGTCTTCCGACTTTAGAATTTTGAACCAGCTAAACTAAATGAATTTCATTACGAATGCAACAAAAACAAAATTAGCAATTTATCGAATCAATTCAAAACTAAACAAAACAAACATTTTTCATTCTGCACTTGTCTAGTGACAGTATCAATATGTTTTTGTATTGTGGGAGGAAACCTGATCACCTTTCGGAATCCCACTTCTTCAGTTTGAGACGACCATACAACCCCCCCATGCAGATATCCAGTTGATGATGGTGAAGATCTTGAGAAGGAACAAACTTAGGCATGATCTCCACCACATGGACTTGTGTCTGGCTGAGCTTCAAAGCCTCTCCTGATATTAGAAGTTTGTTTTTCGTTCCTCTAACTTGTCTCATCATTTCCCTTCTCAGGTGGTAAACCCGTATCACCTGCGGGTACGGAGAAAGAACCCCGTGACGGGGAATTACGTGAAGATGAGCCTGCAGCTCTACCAGGTGGACAATCGCAGTTATCTTCTGGACTTCAAAAGCATCGATGGTACGTGAGGAAGGAGCTTTCAATCTGAAGGGTCTAACAAAGGCCTGAAACACGCTGGGCAGGTCCACAGATGTGCACATGGATAGAAAGCAGTAGAGATGAGCTAAACTTCCCTGGGTTCGGGTCTAGCAGGGTTCGTCAAAACTTCAAAGAGGCTCGGATGCCAAACTCAAAACCCAAATCGAAATCAGTGGGAATCGACTGGTTTTCTGGGCTGATAGGCAAATGGTTGTCAAAAAAAATAGCACATGGTGGACATTGCCCTGGGGAACATGGAACAGTGCAAACGTTTTTTTTTTTTTTAATTCCATTTGGCAGGGGGCAGTGACTTTTAAATTGCCATCAAATGCTTTCTTTTACCTATATATTTGGGGGAACCTTTGGAGGCGTCTGTGTGCAGAAGTTTGTTTAAAAAAGAAGCCTGCAATGAAATGTCATTTGCCGGCAGTTTAAGCTGTATTATTTGTGATAGAACATCGTACAGCAAGAATGAAAAGAAAAACAATTGCCTTGAATCTGGTATGGATTATGAGGGGGTACCCCACAAAAAACAAATGTGTGAGGTCCCGTAGGAAATCCATGCCAGTCCCTTAACCACCTTGTATATAAACGCCGGACGGTGGCAGTGCAGGGGCGCCCCCTGCTTGTGCGCGCTCCCTGGGAGTGTGCAGCACCGCGATCCGGTGCCCACTGTGTCCTCCGGAACACCCGATCGTCATACGGGACCTCTGTGCGTTCCCCGATCATGTGAACACTGCCAATCAGTGATCGCATGCAGAGTAGTAAGCAAGCTGTCATTTCTGGCATCATTGCTTACTACGTTGCCTGTACAGAGGTGATCACATTTTTTGAGCTATTGGTACAAGGCTATTCACAACAGCCTTGTACCATGTGAACAAGCTGTGACCAATAGTACAGCTCACACAGTAGTTCTCAATGGCTGCAAATAATGCAGCCAATAGAAGGAGAAATGAATGCTAGCACCCATAAAGGCCTGTAAAAGCAATCAGTGTAAAAAAAAAGAAAAAATATTCTTCAAAGTATACAGTGTCACCAGCGACAATGTAAGCTATAACGAGTAAAAAAAAATAAAAATAAATAATGCACAAAAAAAAAGTTTAACATATAATTTTTGTTATAAACTGGGTTATTTTTTTTTACTAAAAACGATAACTCAGTCCTTATTTAAATGAAATATTATTTATTTGCAAAATTTTATAAGAAAAACACTTTTTTTCAAAATTTTTGTATTTTCATTTACATAAAAAAAAGAAAAAAATCCCAGCGGTGAATAAATACCACCAAATAATCTCAAAAAAATGCTAAATGGGTACAGTGGTTGCATGACCGCGCAACTCAAAGTGCATTAATTGCGCATGAAAGCAATTAAGAACCTGCTCTGGACTCTGGAGGGGTGAAAGTGCCGGACTGTCATCAGTTAAGTCCGGCCACTGATGTCGTCAGTCTAGGTGTAGTCTTAAGCATTCCACCAGGGCCATCATCAGCAGGAGGGGGGGGATTCGTATATCATCCAAATCCTCAGGAACCTTCAAAATGGGCTCACGTGGAAATAATGAGCCCCGAGAAAGCTTCTGGTGTTAGTAGGTCTTTAATGGTCAAAATTCCAGTTAAACAGAAAGATAAAAACTTTACATCCAGATCTGATATATCAACCAATCAGGATGGCCTTGCGGTATATGCACACAGGTAACGGGCACCTTCTGACGCGTTTTTGTCGCAAAAACACTTCCTCAGAGGACCCTGGTGGAGTGCTTAAAACTTCACCTAGACTAACGACATCTAGTGGCCGAAGTTGCTGATGACACCTGCCTGGTATCACAAGTCCCTCTTGAGCACCAGGAGCAGGTCTTAATTGCTCCATGCGCATTAATGAGCTATCTGGTTAGTGCATTGTTTGTACATTCACAACTTAACACAAGAGTCACGTTTATTCTTGATTATGGACTTTTGGAACACTTGCACTTAATCACTTTACTATAAAGTGTGCCACCTTTCCCCACGTTGATGAGGAAAAGGACCTCTATCCCACAAACCCTTGCTGGAGCTTGTGGGGGTCTGCTGGTGGAGGGAGCTTATTGGAATCTGAATCTTAAAAATAGAGGGGGGCCCCACATACTGACCTTTTCCTATGTGAATGAATAAGGGGTACATAATACCCCTTATCGCATCCAACATTCAGTCTGACCCTAGGTTCAGCCAATCCATTGGCTCATCCCTGGTAAGTAGGGAATGTTGATCATCCCTGTACCCCTGTGTAGCGCTACCCTCTTGAGCCACGGGCTTGGCTTTTGTTGTTCTATTAGGGGATGTAATTTAGGATAGGGTAATAGGGATTGTGGGATGCCCAACTTAACTGAACTGGACAACTTCCTTCCTGTTTACAGAAACAGATCCTGGACTGTTCTTTTCCTTGAAAGTGGTCAGTCATTGCATATTAGTAGCAAAAGCCCTTACAGGCTAGAGACTCGCAGCCCTCTGAAAGTCAGCTTAGCGTGTTGCAGCTACATACATAGAGGTCTCCTCCCCCTGTAGAAGTGCTTCCAGCTCCACAGCCTGCAGACACTACCAGCCCTCCTGGCTGCCATAAACATGCAGATTAGGTCTCCACCTCTTTCGCCCACTGACTTCTGGAAGGGTTCCATGGTCCTCCAGAACCAAGAGGAGGCGATAATGACCCAACCTGTTAAGCCATCCAGCTTGACCTGCAGTAACCAATCCGATTTTAAACACTGACTCACAGAGTTACCATGAGTCCTACACAATAGATTTACCTACACTACACCAGTAGAACACTAGAGGATGCTACACCTGCTTACAGCCTAAAGACGCATCACAGGTCTCCTGGGACGTGTGAGGTCTGGGGAAGCCGTCAGGTGTGGTTCAACAGGAAGCAACACCCATCTCCCGTAACCAAGATGACAGTGCCAGTGACCAGGGTTGTCTTAATGAATACGCACACCTGGTCACTGCCCAGGGGACCCAGGTTCATGGGGTGGCCATGATCAGGGCCAAGAAAAGGTTGGGAGTGGGTGCTGTGTTTGGGATTTTGGCAGCTCCTCTTTGACAGGAGTAACTGTAATGTCACTCCAATCAAAAGGAGCAGCGGCTGGCTGATGATGGGGAGAAGATTCAGCACAAGGCACCAGAGAATCGGAACTGAGACTGAGAAGTCACCTCTCAGTCTCAGCCCCGAGAGATGAAGGAGCAGCTGACCTCATTGCAGGAGGGAACAGCACTTGGGATCTGTGAGTACAAAGAGGATTGGGGGGGGGTACAACTCTGCATGGGGACACCTGATGTGTGTGGATACTGTGATGAAGACACCTGAATACAATGGGGATCCTGGTAATGGGGGGCATCTGATGTATGGGGACATTGTAAAGAGGACAATTGATGTGTGGGGACATTGTGATAGGGCAACCTGATGGATGGGGACACTGTGATAGATGACCTGATGTACAGTATATGGGCACTGTGCTGGGGATACCTGATGCAGGTTGGTAGGGGCCCCATTGCATTACTTTGCCTAGGGGCCAATGATGCTATTAAGATGGCACCGCCAGCAACCCACATTGGTAAGATAGTGTCGGACCCTAGACACTGATAAGTAATAGATTTTTCAGCTTCTGCAGTATTTTTTAGCTGCTTACGTAAAAGGAAAACAAACTGAAGTTCCTCTTCAAATTTGATCTAGAGCTATTGATTTCTGCAATAGGAGGCGACCAAAAACTGAAAATGGTATGGGGGGAACAACCAAGCCAAAAGTGCCACCTACGGGTTGAAAAAAGTATAGTAAAAAAATAATAAAATCAATGTCATAATTATGTGACAAAAACCTGTACATTTAAATTTAAAATAAAAAAATCTTCCTATGAAATATTACATGAAGATGACTTCCTTAAACTGAACCTCTCCAAAACCGAGTTTCTGATGTCTTCCCCCCAGCCTGGACACCACCCCCCATTGACTTCTCCATCACACTGTCCAAAGAACGCCACCATCAAACCCGCCCCGCAGGCCAGAGTACTTGGTGTCATTCTGGACTCCAACCTATCCTTCCAGCCCCAAGTCCAATCTTTTTAACAAACTCATGCAGACTCCACCTCCGCAACATGCAGACTCCACCTCCGCAACATGCAGGGACTCCACCTCCGCAACATCGCCAAAATCCGCACTTTCCTAACCCAAAGAAACTACTAAACAGTCATCCACTCCCTCATTATATCACGACTCGGGACTACTGCAACTCCCTCCTCACTGGCCTGGGCACTCGCCGCTGGCTATCCCCGCTTCAGTCCATCCTGAATACGGCAGCCTGAGACTCATTCACCTTTCCAACCGCTGATCTCCGCCACCCCCCTCTGCCAATCCCTCCACTCAGTGATCCGCCACCCCCCCTCTGCCAATCCCTCCACTGGCTTCCGATTGCGCAACGGATGTGTGTAAAATTCAAAAATCCTAACACTGACGTACAAAGCCGTCCACCATACTGCCCCGAACTACATCACCCCACCTAATATCCAAGTACCCCCACCAACACGCACACTCCGCTCCTCACAAGACCTCCTTCTCTCTAGTTCCCTGGTCTCCTCCTCCCATGCCCGCCTCCAGGACTTCTCCAGGGTGTCACCCATCCTCTGGAACTCCCTGCCCCAACCCATCAGATTATCACCTACTCTCCTCTCCTTTAGGCGCACCCTGAAAACCCATCTCTTCAGGGAAGCCTACCCCACCCCCTGCTAACTTGCCGACCTCCTCCACTCTTCCTACCACTCCATCCCCCACAGCTATCTCCTCCTGTGCCACCATCCCCTCCCTCCTAGATTGTAAGCTCAAAGGAGCAGGGCCCTCGATCCCCTCATGTTTTGCAAATGTATTGTTATTGTTCTGTCACATGTGCTGTCCCCCTTTGTAATGTACAGCGCTGAAAAACTATTGGCGCTTTATAAATACTGTATAATAATAATAGGCAGAGGTGATTATTAATAAATCAACAAAGGAAACAGATATACCACTCATTCCCTCTAAAGGTTTTGGTCAGACTGACATTATTTTTTTTTTTCACAGATGAATTGATGGATCACAAGTCCGGCTCCTCCTCTCTGCATCGCTCCTGCTCAGGGGCGGGTCTTCACCGCCCGAGGCTGAGCATCGACTCCACCATGTCCGACTCCCAGAGCGGCTCTCTCTATGGCTCCCTTTCTGGCTCCTTCTCATTGGCCAGTCCGCGGATTGGTAGCCACACCATGGATTTCTTTGAAATGTGTGCCAGTCTCATTACAACGTTAGCTCGCTAATGAGCCACGTAGTTACTCGCTGGATGATGTGCGCAGGTCTCTTTCACCTTCGGGACATTCCGGGCAGTTCCTCCAGACCCTCATATCTGGGGTCTCATAATGAAATGGCTTAAATTTCTCATCAAAACTGAAGGAGCAGGAGAAAATGTCCTGAACGAGTGAAAGGGAACATAATGGAGTGCAATAGATTGAGTAGATTGAAGTGGCCTGCAAAAGAGTACAATGGGGTGGAATGGAATAGAATAGACTGACGTGCAATATTAAAGAGAGTAATATGGGGGGAGGAATGGAGTAAATTGGAAAAGATTGGGATGGAATGAACAGAGCGGAGTGGCATACAATAGAGTGGGGTGCACTGCATAGACTAAAATAGAGTGCAGTGCAATAGAACAGGATACAGTGGAATAATTTGAGTTCAATAAAGTGGAGAATGAAGTGGAGTGCAACAGAGTGAAGTGCAATATTAACGGGGGGGGGGGGGGGGGGCAAAATTGAATAATGTGAAGTGCAATAGAATAGAGTGAAATGGGGGGGGGTGAAGTGCAGTAGAGGAATATAGAATAGAAAAGTGGGGTTTGAAAAATGGAGTGCAATAGAGTGATAGAATCTGTTGTAGAATGTTTTGGAGCACAATTTGTAGAATGGGATAGAGTGAAGCACAATGGAACAGAGTGGGGTGAAGTGCAATAGAACATAATGGATTTGAGTGGAGTGTAATAGAGTGGAGAACAATAAAGTTGTGTGCAATATAGTAGATTGGAGTGGAGGACAATATAGTAGAATAGAGTGCAGTTAGAGATAGGAATAGAGTGGAGTAGAATGGAATATAGTGGAATGAAGTGCAGTGAATTAGAATGGAATGTGGAGTGGAGTGCAATCGAGTAGAAATGAGTGGAGGGGAATAGAGTGAAGTGTAATAGAGAGGAGTGCATAATATTGGAAAGGATTAAAGTAGAATGGAATAGAGTAGAGTGGTGCCTAACAGAATAGAATGGAGTGGGTTGGAATAGAGTGAAGTGCAATAAACAAAGAGAGTAATGTAGTGAAATGGAACAGAATAGAATGGAATAGAGTAGAGTGGAGCCCAATAAAGTAGAATGGGATGGATTGGAATAGAGTGTGGTGCAATAGAGAAGAGAGTGACATTGTGAAATGGAATAGAGTAGAATGGAATTAAGTAGAGTGGAGTGAAATGGGGTAGGATAGTTTAGAAGAGAGTGAAATGTAATGGCAGAGTAAAACTGAGCAAAGTAGAACAGTGCAATAAAGTAGGAGGGGGCAGTAGAGTGTATTGCAGTTAAATGGAATGAAGTAGATTGTAAATGATGAGCAGAGAGAAGGGGAGAGAATTCAGTGGAGTAGATTGGAACCAAGTGAAGCTGAGTGCAGTAGAATAGACGGAAATACAGTAGAGCGGAGAGCAATAAAGCCGAGGGGATCATTGGGTAGACTGAAAATGTTAGAGTGCAGTAGAGTAGAATAGCTATAGAAGTGGACTGTAAAATGAGAGAGTAAAATGAAATAGAACATACAGTAGTGCAGTGCAATAGGGTAAATGGGAATTTGGTAGAGTAGATTAGAGAGGTGTGCAATATGGCAGAAGGGAATAGAGTGAAATGGAATGGGCTTCTGCATACTTGAGTGTGAAATAGAGTAGTGGTGTACTTAAGCTGTGTGGAACAGATGAAGTGAATACAATAGAGTGGAGTGCAATCAAGTAAAATGGGATGTGGCAGAGTGGAGTGGTATAAAGTGAGTTTGTAATATATATATATATATATTAATAGTATGTATACTAAGAAAGCGTTATAAAAGGAGAGAGAGAGAGAGAGGGGGGGTAGAGAAGGGGAGAAAGAAAGAAGAGGGGGGGTGGAGGGAAAAAGAGAAGGGGAGAGAAAAGAGAGAAGAGGGAGGAGGAAAAAGAGAGAGAGAAGGGGAAAGAGAGGGGGGGGGGGAGGAGAAAAAGAGAAGAGAGAGAGGGGGAGAGTGAGAAAGAGAGAAGGGGGGGGAAGAAAGAGGGGGGGGGAGAAAGAAAGAGGGGGGAGAGGGAAGGGAGAGAAGGGGGGGGGGAGAGAGAGAAGGGTAGAAAAGGGAGGGGGAGAAAGAGAGAAAAGAGAAGAGAAAGGGGGGGGAGGTGGAAGGAGGAGAAAGAGAGAAGGGGGGGAGAGAGAAAAGGGGGGGAGAGAAAGAGAGAGGGGGGGGAGAGGAGAAAGAGAGAGAGGAGGGGGGAGAGGATGAAGAAGAGAGAGGGGGAGGGAGAAAGAGAGAGAGAAGGGTAGAGAAGGAGGGGGGATAAAGAGAGGGAGAAGGAAGAAAGAGAGGGAGAAGGGGAAAGAAGGGGGGGGAGGGAGAAAAAGAGAGAGAGGGAGAGAGAAGGGTGGGGTGGAGAAAGAGAGGGGGGAGAGAAAAAGGGGGGGGGAGGAAAGGAGAGGGGGGAGAGGGAGAAAGAGAGGGAGGAGGGGGGGAGAGAGGATGAAAAAGGAAGAGAGGGGGGGAGAGGGAGAAAGAGAGAGGGAAGGGTGGGGTGGAGAAAGAGGGGGGGGGGGGAGGGAGGGGGAGAAAGAGGGAGAAAAAGAGAAGAGGGGGAGAGGAAAACGAGAGAGAATGAGAGAAAGGGGAGAAATAATTGTAAAGAATAAATATAAAAAAAAAGATACAAAATAAAGAGAATAGATATAAAGATATATAAAGATGGATTGATAGATAGATAGAGAGTGAGAGGAACGATTTAGAATGAAGAGAATTTGAAGAGAATAAAGATATAAAATATTAAAATAAAAATAAAAGATACAAAATAAAAATAACATTACTTTTAGAATAAAGACAGAATACAATAGAAGGGTGAAGATTATAAAAGAGGAAATCATGATCTCCCCCAAAGCAACCAATCAGTGTCAAGCTACTCTACTGTTCTGGTTCCGGTGAATATCTGAAAACCTATTGTGTCCTCAACCAGGAATGGTCCCGACTTTGAAAGAGACCCGGCAGTACAGCCCCACCGCCGATCTACAGATTGGCGCAGTCATTGATCTCAGGCGATGTGTATGGTGCTCCTTCGCGGCACCAGAACACCACAAACCCAGGACAGCTGCTGCTTTATTTAGCTGTAACATATTGTCCCGTGTGTGCCCCCCCCCCCTCTTCATCCATGCTCCCCTCTTCCTAGGCTTTGGGTGTAGGAGGTTCCCTGCGCTGGTTACACTAAACTGCTAATTTATTCTTAGCACTGGAAATAGTGACGTATTTATTTTTGGTATATCGGAGAGTTGTTTTATAGTTTGGCACCTTTTTATTTTTATATGTGCAATCACAATCAGTAGTACAGATTCCTCCGCCTTATGATGTGCAATGAAGATTGAAGTCCAAGCCAACAGGTTACCCTTGTTAATATATAGATAAGTTTGAAGCTACCCCCCCCCCTCCCCCAACCCCAACTTTTCGCTGACATAGAAAATAAAAAAACCCTGTTTAGCCACTTCAGTCCTCATCCCTGTATACCTCTTACAGATGAGCAATTTTTACCTTTCCGCCTTGATTTATTGATTTGAGTTATTTGGCGATAACTTTGCCAGTACTTAAGAAAACATAATACATACCATTTTTTTTTTTTTTCTATGGAATCTATTAAAAAAAATCTAGTAAAAATACAGTTTGACCAATGTTACTGAAAACAGCAAGTATGTTACTGTAAATAAATAGTATACATCTTATTCTATATGTCCTGTTTAAAATGACACTAAAATGATGTCGCAAAGTTTATCCAAAAATAAAAAAGGGGCCTTCTTTGTTTGTTATGCGAAACAAGAAAGTATCAAGCAAAGCAAAAAAAACAAACAAACTGATGGTTAAAAAAATAGAAAAAAAAAAAATGTAAAAAATAAAAGCTAGAAGGGGAAGAAGGAGCTAAAGTGGAAATAAATCCAAAAGCAAACATTTATTATATTGCAGCTTATTAATTCTTCTTTTGGACTTTCTTTCTTCTATTTTCACCTGGTGATCTGGCCAGCAAGTCTGTTTTTTTTTTTTTTTTTTTCAAAAAACGTGCTCCCAGCAGAGTATATCAGTTTACATGGACGAGACAAAACCATTTAATACTGACAGGGGTGCTTACAATGATCAGCTTTTATTTTATTATTATTATACAGGATTTATATTATACAGGATTTATTATTATACAGGATTTATATATTATTATTATTATACAGATTTATATTATTATTATTATACAGGATTTATATTATTATTATTATTATTATACAGGATTTATATATTATTATTATACAGGATTTATATAGCGCCAATAGTTTGCTCAGCGCTTTACAATATAACGAGAGACAATACAGCAACAATACAGCTCAATACAAGAGGGATAGGAGGGCCCTGATCCTGGGAGCTTACAATCTAGGAGAATTTATTCATGTAAAACCTTTATTCCAAAAGGGGAAAAAAAAACTGATTAGAAAGTGTGAGCTGGAAATTGTCTTCAGTGTGTTAGTGTATTTAAATCTGCTAGTCCATCTCAATACTCCCCTCCCCCCCAGACTGACAATGCTGTGGGGGAGCTCTAATACAGGAGGTGTCTTACTGGGCAGATCATCAGGTGAAAACAGAAGGGAAAAGGCCTAGAAAAAAAGAAAACTAATGCAGCCACCACATTTAGTGATTGGTAAGCTGCAATATAATACATGTTTGGTTTTGGGTTTAATACCGCTTTAACTAGAAATACATTTTATTATAAAAAAAAAAAAAAAAAAAACTTGCAAGGGTTCTTTAAGTGATGTCATAGGTAGATCAAAGGTCACACCTTTGATCTATATACAGTGCCTTGAAAAAGTCTTCACACCCCTTAAAAACTTTCCACATTTTGTCATGTAACAACCAAAACCGTCAATGTATTTTATTGGTTTTGCTGTGATAGACCAAAACAAAGTGGCACATAATTCTGAAGTGGAAGGAAAATGATAAATGCTTTTCAACATTTTTTACAAATAAATATCTGA